TGTCGTCCCTCCCTCCCTCCCTCCCTCCCTTCTTTATTCCCTCTCTCTCTATCCCTCTTCCCCATCCACCCACTGTCCCCCCTCCCTCCCTCCCTCCTTTATTCCCCCTCTCTCTATCCCTCTTCCTCCCCCTCGTCCCCTGTCGCCCCCCCCCCACCCTCCCTTTGTAACGCTTGTGGTTCACAATGACCTTGAGCGAGTAACAGGTTACGATCACAACACATGGGCGTTATTCCGGCAAGATCAATGAGACGGGTGTTGTTGTTTTTTTTTCCTTTTTTCTTTTTTCTTTTTGTTGTTTTTACTATTCTGCTTTGTTTGTTTTATCTCTTTTTTTTTACCTTTACTTAATTAATATTGTTTTTTTTTTTTTTTTTTTTTTTTTTTTTTTTTTTTACTTTTTTTTACTTTTTGTCTTTGTATTTTTTTTTTACTTTTCTTTTTTTTCGCTTTAATTAATTTTTTTTTCAGTTTGAGAAAGAATAGCACGTGTATTCGTAATGGCGAGTCTGTAATATATATTTATGTAATAATTTAAAAAAAAATAGTAAGACGAGAGGAAGAGGAAATAATAATCACCATGATTTTTATTCTGTCATTTATGACGAAAGAGACAAAACTGTACGAGGGGGTTTTAATACTTTATAAAGTATAATCCAAGCCCCCAAATTGTTCCAGAAGCAATTACTTAGATTATAGGAATAACTGCACATATATAATATACCGAAACATGGAAAAGAGCGTTTACCAAACAAAAACAAGACAAGGAAAACCAAAAACAAAGCCAAAAAAACTGGGTACAACATTGTCGGAATGAGAGAACGCGCAAAAAGAGAGACACTGAGGAAAAAAAGAAAAGAAACGGAGGACGCAGTAGCTTCGCTCTCGGAAAAAAGGGAGCTTTCAGTAGGAGCTTCTCAGCTAAGGGATTAATGCTGCGTATGAGTGCGTTTGCGTGCGTGCGTGTTTGTTTGTTTGTTTGTGTGTTTTTTGGTTGTGTGTGCGTGTGTGTGTGTGCGCGCGCGTGTGTGTGAGTGTGTGTGTCTATGAGTACGTGTTTGTTTGTTTGTTTGTGTGTGTTTATGTGTGTGTAAGTATATGAATGAGTGAGTAAGGGTAAGAATCAGAGTGAGAATGTGTGTGAGTATGTAACTGTGAATGAGAGAGTGAGTAAGAGTGTGAGTGAGAGTATGTATATGCGCTGAACGAGTGAACAAACAGCATGAATGTATGAACAGATGAAGGAGCGAGTGAATGAACAAACGGGGGAGTGGCGAGTCGCTCTATCTATAACATCAAGCCCTCGCATCTAAACCGGACGTCGGGGGGGGGAGTGAACGCAATCACTAACGACTAACCCCCTCCCCCCCTTCCCTCCTCTTCCTCCCCCCCCTCCTCCTTACTCCATCCCCTCCCCCTTCTCTCATCCTTGCATGCATCCTACCCTTACCCCCTCCCCTCGATCCCCCCCCCCTTAGTCCTTCATATCTCTCCTCACCCCCCCCCTTCCTTTCCCCTCATCTTCCCCCTCTTCCCTCTTCACGATCCCCCCCCCACCCCCCATTTCCCCTCTCTTTATCCCTCTCATCCCACCCTCCCACTTCCCTTATCCATCCCCTCCCTTACCCTCATTCTCCCCCCCCCCCTTCAACCCTTCCAGTTCCCCCCTTCTCCCTTCCCTTCCCTCCCCCTCACCCCCCCATTCCCTCCCCTCTCCCCCAACCTTCCCTTCATCCCAACCCCTCACCCCCCCTTCGATTCCCTCCCCCTCCCCCTCTCCCTCTCCCCCAACCTTCTCTTTATCCCCATCCATCCCACTCCAACCTTCCCCCCTTCCTATCCCCCTTCCTTTCCCCTCCCACCCCCTCGACCCCTACCTCCCCAACCTTCCTTCTATCCCACCCCCTTCCCTTTCCCTCCCCCCACCCCTACCTCCCCAACCTTCCTTCTATCCCACCCCCTTCCCTTTCCCTCCCACCTCCCCCTCCCCACTCCCCCCACCCCTACCTCCCCAACCTTCCTTCTATCCCACCCCCTCCCCCCCACCCCACCTCGACCCCCTCATGACGGCACATATTGATCACAGTGTCAGTCTCCTTGATGGATTGACGGTCATCAGAGAGAGAGAGAGAGAGAGAGAGAGAGAGAGAGAGAGAGAGAGAGAGAGAGAGAGAGAGAGAGAGAGAGAGAGGGAGAGAGAGATAGGGGGGGGGGGGAGAGAGAGAGAGAGAGAGAGAGAGAGAGAGAGAGAGAGAGAGAGAGAGAGAGAGAGAGAGAGAGAGAGAGAGGGAGAGAGAGATAGGGGGGGGGGGGGGGGGGGGGGGGGTGAGAGAGAGGAGAGAGAGAGAGAGAGAGAGAGAGAGAGAGAGAGAGAGAGAGAGAGAGAGAGAGAGAGAGAGAGAGAGAGAGAGAGAGAGAGAGAGAGAGAGAATTGTTCTTTTTTTTAAATACTTGGTGAGAATATGCGAGATTGACCAAAAACAAAAACATAAAACAACAA